CGACTTGAGAATGGTCGGCATTGATTGCTATCAACTGTAGATAGTTGCATGGTCGTTAAAAGTCAGGTGAGGCGAACGTCGTCTACACAAGAATGGGGATTCCGCCTAGGGCTTTCTTGCTTGCGAATGAGAGAAACATAACCCTCGGGGACCTTGCGAATGGCCGAGAGAGAGAGAGGCTTCGGCCTGGGCTCGTCACAAGAGAATGAGGCGCAGAGCTGAGGTCTTCGTGTGTATGGAAAGAAGAAGGAAATTTTGTTCTATGAGGCTTGAATGAGCGAATCTTGAGAGGGGGCGGCTTTGGTTTGTCGGAACAGGAAGCTTGCGAATGGCGGGGAATTCCACCTGGAACTTCTTGCGAACAGAGAAAGGCGAGTGCAGTGGGGGTTTCGGTCGATTTTGGAGAGGAGCGAATGGGAGCCTGGGTTTCGTGCGACTGGAGTAGGAGAAGAGCAGCAGTTCGCGAACTGCTGTAGGAGTGACGGGTTGGAGGTATACAAACTGCCGAGAGGAGAGGGATTTGATTTTTGCAAACTGTAGGGAGACAGAGGGGCGAACAGGCTGGGAAGTTCACGAACTGGGAGGGATTTCGCCTAGATTTTGTGCTGTGCGTATGAGGTCATGGGATGAGGAGTTCGGTTCTATGCATGAATAGGAGAGGAGTTCGGGAATTGGGATTTCGTTTTAGAGGCAACGGCTGGGCTTCACAGAGAAAGAGCAGTTCGCGAATGGGAGTTTGGCTTCGTGAGAACTGTCAGGGAGAGGAATCGTGGCTTTGTGAATTGCCGAGAGAGGGAGTTAGAGATATCGTGGGTTTTGAGTTGGATTAGAAAAGTCTTTAACTGCAAATTAGGTTTATTCTAAATAAACTTTTGATTTGATATATATTTTTTTTAAAAGATTATTAAAAATAATATATAAATAAAAATAAATTTTATTTTAAAACAGAAAGATGATTTATTTTTAAAAAAATTTGGTATATTCAAAAATGAATGAAATTAATGAACATTAAATTAGATCAATCAAAATCAATTTATTTAATCTATCTAATGTCATTAATTCGTGACAAGTCAAATCGGGTTATCGAGGTTTATTGAAATCGAATTCGACTCGAGTTAATTTGATTTGATTTCATTTCGATTGGTGAGTTGATTTTGATTCGAGTTGAGTGATAGGTTCGAGTCGATGCTACGTCAGTGGGTATCCACCTAAGAGAAATCCTGCGGGTGACGTCTATTCTAGGCTATGAAGACCTAGGTGCTAGAGTTGAATTTGGGGAAATTGACCTCGAATAATGAGGTCAACAATAGCTTCTACATACATATTCTTAATGACTTGAATATAAGCATTATGAACCCTTCCTTTTCTAGAACTCTCTATAACACTTCTCTTCAAACTTTATCATATGCTTTCTCTAAATCAATAAATATCATATATAGGTTCTCCTTATTCTCTCTATACTTCTTTATCAAACCTCTCAATAAATGTATAGCTTCCATAGTAGACCTACCCCACATGAATTCAAATTGATTTTGAGAAGCATTAATATCACACCGCAACCTATGCCTCATACTTCTAATCAAACAAAAAAAATCATTCATATGCATTTAATTTACATTTATCCAAACAACTCAAAAGTTTTCCTTTTACATAGCATTTATTTTACACGGTATTATTTTTTCAGGCAACCAATAGCCCTTATGTTACTTTTTAGGTAGGATGAGACAAAAGAAAATTTTTTTAACCTTTCTTTTCATCATATACACCTCAATTTGATTTATTGATGCCTTTTAAGTGTGGAAAATTAATTTGCATCTCTCTCTATATTTATTTATCTCCCTTCATCTTCCTGTCCTCGACTATTGGGTGCATGTGCTTGGGTATGCAATGCGTTGTGTCAATACTCTGTTCATTGAAAATATTAGTTTAATGGAATTGAGATAGATGCAATTTGTGGTTATTATATTCTATTTTGAAATTTAGCTTCGTCTATAATCGTTGATTTCTTGGGAGTAATAAATGATTACTTTCAAGACACTATGCTTATGAGAAGTGGTAGGAAATTTGTAAAATCCTTGAGCAATTACTTTTGCTGTAAGTGTTATAGTTACATTTCTTTTTGGTCAAACAGAAGATACTGAGCGAAAGTTTAGCCATTGAATACATTTTTGGGTCATCTAATAGCATAATATCATGGTGGATACCATTTTACAGTAGCCATAATGATAGATTTCTTATATTATGCTTTTACTTTTGCCTGAACAGTATATTTGCTAATGTTAGTTTCCTCGCCTTCAATTATAGAAAGCTTTAAATGAGTACCCCCATTTTTTTTTAAACCAACACACTGTGTTTCTTCTAATACTTAATGCTCAGCAACTTGTATATGCTTTGTTATGGAAAATCCTATTTTATTCATATCTCATTGAAAAGGTCATGCGAGAATCATGCGGTTTGGAATTGCACGTTTTTTGGCTTTTTGGAGTGGCTAAAACCAGTGTTTACAGGTTTTGTTGCTCTGCGCTATTGGAAATTGTTTAAATGATTTCAATTTTCAGTTAACTATCAAACAACAACAACAACAACATCAATCCTTTATCCCACTACGTGGGGTCGGCTACATGAATCCTTTTTCTCTATTGTGTCCTATTAAAAGCCAAATTCTCGTTTAAATCTAATAAAGAAAGGTCATTCCTAATATTTTCTAACCAAGTCTTTTTAGGTCTACCCCTACCTTTCTTAACACAAGTCAAATCTAATACCTCTACTCTCCTAACCGGGTCGTCGGAAGGCCGCCTTTTTATGTGACCAAACCATCTAAGGCGACTCTCTCTAATCTTATCTTCTACTGGAGCTACTCCAACCTTTTCACGTATATGCTCATTTCGTATCCTATCTCTAAGGGTAAAGCCACTCATCCATCTAAGCATCCTCATCTCTGCCACACTTAACTTAGTATTATGCTTCTCTTTTAATGGCCAACATTCGGCACCATAAAGCATTGCAGGCCTCACTACCATCTTATAGAATTTTCCCTTAAGTTTGAGGGGTACATTTCTATCACATAACAAGCCCGATGCATTCCGCCACTTCAACCATCCAACTTGAATTCTACTGATAATATCCCCATCTATTTCACCATCACTCTGAACAACAGATCCAAGATATCTAAAACGTGTACTCTTATTAATGACTTGATCGCCCAAAGTCACAATCCCCTCACTAGGACTATTACTGCTAAAATTACACTCCATATATTCCGTTTTAGATCTACTCAAGCAAAAACCTTTAGACTCTAAGGTTGACCTCCATAATTCAAGTTTACCTTCAACTCCCTCTCTAGTCTTATCAACAAGAAGAATATCATCAGCAAAAAGCATACACCAAGGTACATCATCTTGCAAATGTCTACAATCTTGTGCATCGCCTTTATTCTTAAAAATAGGAATTAATACACTCATTCTCCACTCATCTGGCATCTTTTTAGTCTTCAAAATAGTATTAAAAAGTTTAGTAAGCCAAGAAATCCCTTCATCTCCTAAGCATTTCCACACCTCTATTGGAATATCATCAGGTCCAACAGCTTTTCCACCCTTCATTCTATTTAAAGCCTCTCTAACTTCAGTTTTACTAATACGCCGATAAAAACAGAAATCTTTACTTTCATTTAGGGTGCTAAGGTCACTATAGTCAATCTTATTTTCATACTCTTCATTAAAAAGTTTAGCAAAATATCTCATCCACCTTTGTTGAATATCATCTTCTAAGAAAAGTATCATTTATTCAACATGATAGTTAACTTAAAATAGATGAAAGGTGGATGTTATTGGGAAATAGATGAAACCTAATTCAATTACTGAGAGTTAAAAAGTATAAAATATAAAATAGATCAATCCCCAAAATTTAAAAATTTTATACAAGTTCTACCTAATTGATGGGTTCTGTTGCTACCAGGATAGACTTCACTATGATTAGATTTTGGAGGGTCATAACCCTAGTTCTTCTAATGCAACATAATGGAACCGCTCTCATTTTATAAAGAAAAAAATTACGCCTCTAAATTTCTTGAAACACCTTTAATAAAATAAACTGCAAATATTGGATAGCTTTGGAGGGCTTCTTAACCGAACCTCCCGTTGGGGGGTGGGGGGGCTCCTCATCCCTTTCCAAACTTGTAAGGTGATCTTAACGCGTGAAATGGATGAGTAAGTGTGCGTATCACATTTTCTTCCCATGTGAAAAATAAGGCTCCACCATTCAACACATGCAGCTAATATATCTTCTTGGCACTTTTATTTTTTATTTTTTAATCTCAAATGTTTTATTAATTGAAGGTGTGTTAAAGTCAGTTACATATAAGTATGCAAGATGCGAAATATAGATTTGAAGTGCATAAGATTAAGACTTCGTTTGGGGCAGTTTTCGTACTGCTTTTTAAAATAGTTTTTTAGTACAAAAATTTTAAATTCAAAAGTTTTTCACTAAAAAGTTGTTTTAGAAAGCAAGAAAAAGCCGTCCCAAATGAAGCCTTGATGGCTTTTTTAATGTATCTTAAAGCAGCTTTCTCTAGAATGCTGCTTTAAGAAGCAATAAAAGAGCTGTTCCAAACGAAAAGCGTAATTAAAGAAAAAATTCAACATAGTGAATGTTTAGATTAATAAAATCGTTTGTTAGACTTTATGCCCTCTAATTTGGGAACCAGGCAGCATGCGGTGCCAACATGCTGTTTAAACTAGTGCTCTTTGGTTGATAATTATTATGTACTGGCCTTTAATGCAGGAACTCACTGTATTGCATTTTATTTTTTAAATATTTCAGATTTCGTCTCACTAAAATAAATTCTTACTTCCTCATACTAACTTGGACTGAAATATATTGCAGAATATAAACACTTTTGTTTATTTAATCATATCATTCTCCCTCTTTTGAGTTGTTTTCTCCAATAGCCGTAAATATATGATGGTATTGCTTATTGATTCCCTGTTTTGCTCTGTTTGCAGTGCCTCCTTTGTTCTATGCGATTCTTGACATCCATGATAGAAGTTCGTACAGCCCAGGATCAAACCTCATCAGGCAAACTTTTTCACCTCAATGATTTGGTGATCAGTGTTCAATGATATTTTCCTTTCTTCTGAACCAAGTCTTCTTTCCAAAGTTATTAATATTCCACATTTACAACTGTTATTACCGACTTTATATTTTACTATGGAATTTTTTTCAATACTAATTAAAATTTAATTGTGATGCATAGTTTTTCTTTTTTTTTTTAAATTGTGATGCATAGTTGATGCTGCATTTTGGGATGGTAATTCTCAATATAAATAGTTTGTTACGTTTTCAATACTTTGGTGAATTTGGAAAGGGTTCATTTGGTTGCTTGTAAATGGAACATATTCATAAAAAAAATGCTGTAGTTCGAGAGCCTTTGGCTTCTTCCAAGGACTGTCATTTAGAGGAAGATAATTCTTCTATATTATAAATTTAAGCCTGAGAACAGAGTTAGTTCGCTTGATGGTTGATGCAATTATGTTTTTTTTTTTAACTTTCGAGTGAATAAAACATAAATTTACATAGATATTACATATGCAAATTTCAACCTCAAAATTTTTTTTGTTGATAGTTTAAGCTACCAATCAACAGATCAAAGTGGGCTGCATTGATGCAATTATGGTTTCTCGAACTTCAGCTGGACAGCATGCGGAAAATTACAATGAAGGAAGTTTATTGTCAGTTAACATACTGACACTCAAGCTCTTCAAAAGAGTGAATTGAAATAAATAATTTGGTATGTATTATATATAAATTAGCTTGTTGTGACGTTGACAGTTAACAATAAAATCTCATGTGGACCCCTGAGTGAAATCGACTGAACTCCCATCGGAATAGTCCAAATCGTCCTGATCCACCAGCCTAATACTGAGCTGAGCAACTACTTATTCATGTTCGAGATCTAATATTACTAAGTTCAGTTAAAGCTTTTTTTTTAAAGGAAAATTTAGGCTTAGCTCGTATATTAGATTAAAAAGGTGATTACAAGTAATAAGACATCAAAAACAGCCCCACAAATAAAGGAGCTAGCTCAATAAAGCTCAAAAACCTACTCAAATAACAATCAAGTAGCACAAATCAAAAGTAACACATAATAAAGAGGCTAAATTCACAAAAATAGAGCTCCCAAAGCCATTAAAAGCCTGGACTAAGGAGATAATGCAAATGAATCAGAGAAAAATTCAACTCCCTGGTTGCCTAAAGACCGTCCAAGGGGAGCCTGCAATAGGAGCCACATCATTATCCAAGGCTTGGCATAAACACCAGCAGACATATAAGCGAAAAAAGGCACATAATTGAAATACTTGAAGGAACACCTTAATACATTCAAGCCAGTTTAAAGGATATCCAAAAATTTGAAAGAGTGCTTCCACTTGATAACTTTCTCAAAAATCGATTTTTTGATATTAAGCGAGATGGTGGAGCAGCCATGCATAATATTCCCAAATCTCCCATCATTTATCTCTTTCTAAATATAGTAAATAGAGCAGCATGTAATCAACAGATATAGGTTTTTAACCGATTGCTGCACTTTCAAATCTCCATCAATCCATTCGAAAAGTTGCAAAACAATGGGCCTATAAAGAAGACCCCTAGTACCAAGCATAAGAACATATAATATTGAGAATGAATAGGAGCATTCAAAAAACAAGTGAGAAGCACTTTTAGTATGCGCGTAGCATAGACTGCAAGTAGGAGGAACATGAATGTTTCGTTTTAGCAAAGCATCCACATTTTTCAGGCCCCCACGATGGCAAGCCACACATACACAAAGTGTCGCATAACATACTTGGGATGCCAAACCATCCTATCCCAAGGGCAACTTGGCAAATGCTTATAAAACTCATTGACAAAGTCTCCAAATTTGTTATTTGTCATATTGTTACAAAGTAAGCAAGTGGTGGTGCTATCCAGAATAGGGAAGTTACTAAAAACATCACGTAAGGACACATGAAAAGAGTCAGGTAAGTTACAATTATGCCTCGAGATGAAATCCCTCATGAGAGAATCTGAGAGTGAGGCATCCAGCAAATTATACCCATCAGTGAATTCCGCTAAAGTGGCATTGTGACACCAGTGATCCCATTGCAAGGAAATGAGAACATTTTGAGTAATTCTAAATTGAAAACATGACTTTGCTGCAACAGCTGTATTGCATATATATTTCTAAAAAAATAGAAGCATAAGATGGGGGAGGACGCCATGGGGAGATATATCTGCTAGAAATCCAAGAAGATAAAAGAGATGAGCTATTATAAATTCTAGTAATCACTAAACAGTCGAAAGAAAATTGTAGGGCAAGTAGCGATGGGAGACCCAAACCCCCCTTGTTCTTTGGCTTGCAAACTTTATCCCAGGTGATCATTTCGTTAGCAAGCAAAATATTGTCCGTAGAGACCATAGATTTTACAAAGCCCACTTGGTTTTCCTTGACAATCAAAGGCATAATAGGTTTAAGCCTATTAGCAATCATCTTAGTAATAATTTTATATAACGCATTGCATAAAGCTATCGGTCTGTAGTTAGAAATTGAAGTTGCATTCTTGTGTTTAGGGATGATAGCAAGCGTCGTTGCTTTAACACCATTCGGAATGTAACCTTTTTGGAAAAAAAGGATTTGATAGCCCTAAAACCATAGGGCCTATAATGTGCCTCCTCGATTTATATAAATGGAAGTTAAATTCGTCCGGGCCAGGAGCAGAGGTAATCCCTTGAAAACAGCATTTTTAATTTCAACAGTATAGACATATTGAGTAATTGGAGCAGCATAATGGTATGGGAAAGTATTACCAATAGGAAAAATCTCCACATCCATGTTGGAGGGGGGAGTCGGATTGTATAATACTTGAAAGTGCTGAATGATGGAGAAGATCGTGTCCGACCTAATAGAGTTGGGATTACTAGCAAAAAAATTAACAACCGACTTAGTACTACCAATTATGCTCCCAATTTTGTCATAGAGGAATTTCAAATCATCCTCCCCATGTTTTAGCCAATTATCTTTGGCTCTTTGAATGATCCAAGAAGAGCATATTAGATAACTCAGAGATCCTGAAATTAATCTCCTTATAAGAGGTGTTTAGTGAAATATTATTTGGATCTTCATGAAACTTCCCCAAACATTCCAGTTGTTACTTATATAGATTATCAAGGTGATCATTGATGCAATTGGAATTAGCCCATGACTCCTCAATGTCTCCTTTAAGCTGTCTAAGCATGTGCAAAGGTGAAATAGAGGATTATCAATCAAAGGCTTAGAGAAAACCTCTAACAGTAAAGTCCAGTACATGTCAATATTGGTCCAGAAATTTTTAAAAAGGAAACTGTGATGGGAATGAAAGATGACTCCATAATGTAGTATAATGGGGTTATGATCCGAGCAAGACGGGCTCTGAAAAGAGTAGTAAGAGCTTGGGAAGGAACTCAACCAAGCATCACTAATAAGAACTATGTTTAGTTTGATATGAATCATATTGTCAGAGTGTTGATTGAACCGAGTATAAGTGCATCAAACTGAATGCAGATCCAAAAGGATGTTATTAAAGATCATAGAATTAAACTCCGCTAGAGCACTTTGAGTGAGAGCAGAGCCTCCCAATTTTTTAGAAGCAAAACGATAGCAGTTGAAATCTCCCATAAGAACCCAAGGGGTACCTTGAGTAGGAGCAATCTGTGCAATATAAGACTAGAGATCTTTTCACTCAACTCCACTACTAGATGCATATATTAAGTAAGCTGCAATGGAGGGCGGCGTCCAACAGAGACAGTACTAGAAATAAGCTGAGGGGTAATGTGAACAGGGTTATAGTTCATCTTACATGCATTCCATTTGATCCATATACGCCCCGATGAAGAGAAGTCAAAATTATGACAACTGAGCTCATTGGGAAAGACAAAATGAGTAGATTCAAAAAAGGGGCTTTGGAGAGAAGGATAATGAATCCTAGTCTCCAAAATCCATAACATATCTAATTTAAAAGACTCAATTAAACATTTGAAACACAAGAATTTATAAGAATGATTGAACCCCGTGTTGTTCAACGCCGCAATGGACGAGAACAACATCAAGTAATAAAGAGAGGGTGTGGTTTCTTGGCTTACTTCCCCCTAGCAAACTTTTTTTGGAAGAACAAAGCTAGATGTCTGTTTAATTGTTTCTTGAGGTTTTTGATTTATTCCAGCCAAATCATTACCAACCAAAGAGTCTGGTTGGGAATTTATCTCTTGCTAATTTTAAAGAGCATCAAATTTATTAGGAGAAAGGTCTTCTGGAGGCAAGGATGAGTTTTGAATTTATGTTTTGCTAGTAGAAGAGGAATCCCCCTCTGTGGGGGAGTTAAGGCTGGTAATACTAGAAAAGTTAGCCACATTATCATTAGTCTAAACTAGAAGAGGGAGGGGAGAAACTTTAGTGACTTCAGGATGGGGTTTGAAGGAAGGTTATTGTGGAGGAGGGGAATGTGGTTGGTAATGTAGTTCTTGACCAATAGAGTTAGTGGTAGAAGGCTTTTGCTGGATGGTAGTAGTGGATGTGGGATTTGTAGTGTAGGGAAGGGGAGCCCTGATTCTGGTCTCAAGAGAAGGACTACAGATACTATTGGTATGCCTAGTAAAAGCTCCAGGTTAGTGATGATTTCTGGGTTTTCTACTGAATCTCTTACCTCTATGGGGTTGCTCCTTAGGGACCTCATTAGAAGAGAGGATAGACTCTTTTGTTGAGGAATCAGGTTTAGACGGGCATGTGGAAGAGTAATGCACTAATGACTTACAGTGTTCACATGGGTTGGCCTCCATTCATTCCGCAGCTTCAAGAATGCAACATCAACATCTAGGGATACCAATATCTCTTCTGGGTATGTAGCCTCGCAGTAAAAAAGCACACATACCCTAGAAAAGGTAAAGTGTGTCTTTTGTGCTGTCAGGGAATCGACGGCAAGAGGAACCCCAACCTTGCTCGTAATTCTAGAAATACCCTCCGAATTCCAGAATACCATAGGAAGATCAAGAATTTTTATCCAGATAGGTACAGAGGAGAAGTTCTCCCTCTTAGGCTTGAATTTTGGATTCCATTTTTGAAGCATAAATGGCTTACTTAGAAAAAACCAGACGCCTCTAGACCATGCCATATCAAAGTCTTCTGAACAAGATAACAAAAGCAGAAAAAAGCCTTCACTGAGGGATAAGAGTTGGAGATAACCT